TGAGCTCTTGAAAGTATACTCATTAACGGTTTGCGAACGAGCATCAGGATATTCTCATGCCAAGGTCCATGATATCTCAAGACTCCCACAGATGCTACCCCTCGATCTGATCGGCCATCAGTCGATTTATGCACGACATCCCGAGCCATCAGATGCCTTCTGCGTCAAGACTCGGAATGTTGCTGCCGTGCGGGTGCTCTCCACACGACAAATGCCGCTTTGGGATCCCGATGACTTCTCTACAGTATCTGACCATATATTGTGGAGAAAGAAGGTATGAGACACGGTAGTCTGCATTGGTTCTTACAGGTGTAGCCAGCCTGGGGCATGTGTTCCAGCTTCAGGTTTGACTCTTGAGACTGTAATATGGTCCAACAGGCGAGTACCGGATGCGGGGCCTAGGAGACTGTGGTCACGGTGTACCGGTGATACACAAACCATCGTGTGCTACCTCAGAGTAGTCATGTGGTTGGTCGGGAAGTGTCAAATAGTGAAGAAGTGAGTTGCAAGGGCAGCCAACGAGGAGGGCACGGACCACGCCCAGACTTCTACCGAGCAGTTCATTCGTTGCTGCCACCGTTGCGCTCTCTGCCTCGTTGCACAGCTTGAGTCGTCTCAGTCTCCTCGAACCCCTACGCTGTCCGTCACTCCATCGTCTTATCACCTCAAACCCATCGCCATCGCAGTAGCTTCAAGCAAGCGCAGCACACAGGTTTGGCAGGACCTTTTCTCTCATTCTCTGTCGATTCACTTGCGCAAAGGCTCCCCTTGGTTGTTCTCTGCGGGCGCGTTCCTCTCAAGCTCCTCTACACCACCCATCCAGAGTCGTGTTATACTCGCTGCACCCTGCCCTCAGCCTCTCGCCGAATCTCGCAGCACCAGCTCCCCAGATACCAGCTATTGTCAAGTCTGACTAGCCGACATCTCTTCCGTGCACACTCATCATCCGCACTCACCAGCACTACCACCTTCCGCTTCTTATACCAGTACCACCACCTCTGCACGATCCCCATCTCGATCGCTCTCCGCCCCGTCCATCCCGATCCCGTTTTCCTTGGACACCAGCACACTCCCCCAAAGTGTACGTAAAAGACGCGAATAAAAGGACCTATCCAGAACAAGATTCTCGCACAATCCACTCGTAGCGTGACTAGTGTTGTACACGCTTGATCCACAACCAAACATGTCGACCTCTCCAACTCCCGCAACTGCGCCTTCGCAAAAGCGCCCTCTCGAGGAACCCTCATCACCCAACGGTCCTACCGACCAACCCGACGCCAAGAGACCTGCTCTTGACAAGGTCAAGGACGAAGAGCCTGTTCACGAAGCCGCCCCTGCATCGCCTTCCGCCGCTGATGTCAAGTCTGAACCCGAGGCTGCTGCTGCTTCTGTTCCTGTCACCACAGATGGAGTCTCAAATGAAGGCCCTGCCGAGTCCCATGGAGATACAGTCGTGCTTGACGCTCCCCCTGCTGGAATGCCCTCAGCCACTCAAGTCCTCGAGACACAGCCTGTCCAATCCACTGCTGCTAACGGCGCATCTGCTGGCGGCCAAGATCAGTACTCCGCAGCACAGCAGGATGAGAGCAACTGGTTGCACATCAGAGCCATCATCTCGAGCGCTGAGGCTGCTACAGTCATTGGAAAAGGTGGAGAGAACGTCACTCAGATTCGTCGCATGAGTGGAGCCAAATGCACTGTCAGCGACTATTCGCGCGGCGCCGTAGAGCGTGTTTTGACAGTCAGCGGTCTTGTCGACGCTGTCGCAAAGGTAATGTTTGTCCTGGGTTCTCAAAGATTTTGGCTAACCAGCGGCTAGGCTTTTGGTCTTATCATCCGCACACTCAACAACGAGCCCCTCGAAGCACCCTCAACTCCTCAGTCCAAGACCTACNCCCTGCGCCTATTGATTCCGCACATTCTGATCGGCTCCATCATAGGCAAGGGAGGTGTAAGAATCCGCGAGATTCAGGAAGCCTCTGGTGCTCGTCTCAATGCATCCGACTCTTGTCTGCCTTTGTCGACTGAACGTTCGCTCGTCGTCCTTGGTGTTGCAGACGCCGTCCACATCGCGACTTACTACGTTGGTAGCACACTCGTTGAGCAGCTGACCGAGCGCTTTGGAGGCGCCGCTGCTTCAGCCTATGCTACTCGTAGCGGCGCTCCTGCTGGTGTTGTGCCTGGAGGTATGCAAGTGGTTCCTTATGTCCCTCAACCTGCTGGTGGACAGTGGGGTCCCCCAGATCACTTCCGCCGCCAGCCTCCTACCCAGCGTGGCCCTCCTCCTGCTGGCTATGGTATGCAGCAACAGCACCCTTATGGCGGCGCACCCACCCCTGTGCACCCTCAAGCACCTGTCCACTACCCTGCTGCGTCCCCTAGACAGCCGTATGTTGGTGCAGGTCCTCATGCTCCTGCTCCTCATGCCGCTGCCTACCCTGCTCAGCCCACCACCGCAGCAACTGCCGCCCACGCAGGTCCTCCTCAGCAGCCCATGCAAGGTATGGTACCTGGCCAGCCTCTGACTCAGCAAATCTTCATCCCCAACGACATGGTCGGCGCTATCATCGGAAAGGGCGGTGCAAAGATTAATGAGATACGCCAGCTCAGTGGAAGTGTCATCAAGATCAACGAGCCTCAGGACAACAGCAATGAGCGTCTTGTCACCATCACTGGAACTCAAGAGTGCAACCAAATGGCGCTCTTCATGCTCTATTCTCGTCTTGGTAAGTAACACGAGTCTTTCAGAATTACTAGAACAAGAAACTAACATGTCAAACAGGCCAGGTTCAGGCGGGTCAAAAGTAAATGCGAAACGAAACAACCCTTCCAGCGAAATGACCACCAGGCCGCATCCGTCATTGGAGCGGGATTGGCATGAAAAAGTTGACGATAGGACCAGTCAAAAGGCAGACTTGGAATGTATTTTTAGTAGAGGCATGTTGTCGGCCAGAAACAGGGAGAAGCAGGTACGACACATTCCAATGCCACAAGCCATTGTTCACCTAGCCCCGGGTTTCCAACATCGCACGGTGATTTGTGATAGGATGTCAGTAATACAAGAATTTAACCACGAGCGATGATGATGACGATGGTGATGGATATCTACAATTACTGACAGAAACTATGAAGTATAGGATATTTGGAGATGACAACACGATATCATACCTCCTCAAGCAGATGCTTCGGTCGCGACGCTAGCCACACGCCCGAGACGAGTTTGAAGAATTTCCGCTTTCGGACAATCAAGAGCAAACATGGGAAGCCACGAACAAAGCACACAACGCATGCGACAGTAAGTCATGAGCACTGATTGTGATTGATTTAAAAGAGTCTTTCACGTGCGGGACATCCGCCTGGTCGTTTGCTCAACACATCACACTCTTGATTGATCACAGTGTGTTTCGGGCTCGCTGGCGTTGGCATACTCGGGACTGCTCACACTCGTTTGTTCCACTTAACTTCTCGACTAATTCAACTGCCCACCTTGCAGAGAAGTTTTCTACATACTTTTACGTCGTTGGATGCTTGAAGAACACTCGCACAGTCGAAACTAATCCGCAAATCAACACAGCACAAAGGCAATGACGACAATTGGGTCCAACACAGCCACGTCCGCCATGGCAGACACACCTCTGCGCGGGACTGGGGTGCGATATGCCNCCACACCTCTCCACCCTACAGCGCGTGGCAACATTCGAACGAACTTCAAGAGTTTCCACGAGGTCGCAACTGTCGTGGTTGGTGGACAGCACGCACGAGACTCAGTAGCACGTAGCCAAGGTCAAACGACTTACACCATTCACAAAGATCTTCTGACAGCCGAGTCGCCCTTCTTCTCAGCCGCCCTCAATGGCGCCTTTGCCGAAGGCCTTGATCAAACTGTGCATCTTCCCGAGGAAAAGCCAGAGATCTTCGAGTGGTTCTTGTGGTGGCTGTACACGGGCTCGCTCACCACGCCTACATCTACAAATTGCAGTGTTGAACCAAGACATCACAGACTCCGTGCCATGGATGCCATGCCGGGGTTCTTAGGTCAGGGACTGCCACAGCACGTAACACACACAGATGGAGATCTGCGCAATTCGGCCGGCTCGCCCAAGTATTTCCTACTACTCGATCTGTATGGTCTGTCAGACAAGCTCATGACTACCACACTCTGTAATCACATTGTCGACACGATAGCACGACTGTCCGAGAGCACCAACTCGGTACCCACGCCATCAGACACATGGATCCTTTACGATACTATCCGTGACAATGCGCCAATGCGCAAGCTGATACTCGATCTCTTCGCCTACAAAAAGACAGACAAGTTGCTCGAGAGCCACAAAGACGAATGGCACCCGCGCTTCCTTCGAGAGCTGGTTGTCAAGCTCAAGCGACCTGGACTCGAGTCGCTGGACAGACACTCGTTGGCGCCGTGGCGACCCATCAGCTGGCAAAAGACGAAGGCGTGTGAAGCCTGCAGGGAACTACTTACACCTGGTATCAGCAGCGAGAAATGCGAGATTTGCGAAAGAGCTTTCTGCGGTGGGTGTGCCGGTGCGGGCAGGACACCTGGGCTTGGAGGAGATGTGGGAGCTTGCAAGCCGTGGTTGAAGGGTATGTGTTCGAGATACCATGAGCATGCGCCTGGCGAGGATGATCTGAAGAGATGTGGTAGATGAGACTAGCGAAAGGGACATGGCGACAAGCAAGGCCAGGATCATGATGGTCTGGGAAGATGAATTCGTTCTTGGGAAACAGATCAGGGAGAAAGGTCGGCCCAGAGATGTGCTGATACAATATGGAAAGATAGCTTGAGTGTAGCTGGAGTGTAATGTATCAATGATAGCTTAACATCTAATCTCGAGTTTCAGACTCGGCAGGGCCCTGAATGTCATGAAATGTCACCAATGTCAAAAGGCGGGATGAGTGTGGGGAAAGAGCAATTGACGCAACAAGTGCAAGCACGAGGTGGGGGCACCTTCCTTATTATCCCAACCCTCTTGCCAACCATGGTGCACAATATAGACACAGCCGCAGCATCGCCCTCGTTCAAATTGAGCAGCGCCGGCGCCCCGAGTCCGCTACGCTCTCCCCTCAGCCGGAGAGACAGCAGAGACATGGCATCGTCGCACCGCCAATCCTTCAGCGAACGCGGCATCCCCAACTCCCCACGCCAGCGCAATCCCTCCTTGTCGCAGCAGGCCATCCAGGACCTGATTAACAACCCTCCTGTCGGCCGCAAAGACGATGCTATACCCAAGTTTGCTGGACGCGACTGGCGCAGCATCACCCTGGAAGAGATCTTGGTGCCTGACGAGGTTCGCTTCGTAGAGGTCGACAGCACCATTGAGGCCGCCACCAAGGTACACTACCATGTCTTGACCTCGATTGAAGCTGTGTCTGACGTTTCTGTAGNNCTGTTGATCGAGTCTGGATCGCCCAATGTCATCCTCATCCGCGAATCACCCTCGACACGCCAGGCCATTGGTCAGTTCGACTACGACGACCTCAATGCCTATCTCCTCCTCGTTACCGGTCTCGCGCGTCCGCAAGACTCCGACTTTGATCAAGTCGACAAGATTGTCTCCCGCGCACGCACAAACCAGCCTGTAGAGCTTGGCCACGTCAAGAACCTACTCGGCCGTAAAGAGTCGCCTGCTTTCTGTGATGCCTCGGCCACGTTGGCTCGCGCTGTAGAAATCTTTGGTGGTGGTTGCCATCGTATAATCGTACGCGCTCCTGGTTCAGAAGATGTTGTGGGAGTCTTGAGTCAATTGAGACTGGTGCGGTTCCTGTGGGAGAACCGAGCTAGCTTCCAGCCCGTCGAGCAGCTGCACAACCGCTCGCTGAAAGAGCTCGAGCTGGGCAGTCACTCGGTCATCTCTATTAATGGCGACCGTCCACTCAAGGATGCCCTGCTCCTCATGCACAGCGAGGGTATCACTTCGCTACCCGTACTTGACAACCACAAGAATGTCATTGGCAACATTTCTCATGTTGACGTGAAGCTTCTAACCAATACTTCCGCCCTCCCTCTCCTCGACTCTTCTTGTATTCACTTCATCAACGTCATTCTCTCCGAGCGTGGCATGAACGAAGGCCAGGATTCTTACCCTGTCTTCTACGTCAATCCGACGAGCACACTTGCGCATACCATTGCAAAACTTGTCGCAACTCGTTCTCATCGCATGTGGATCGTTGACGCGCCTTCACCTGCTTCTTCCATCCCTCCCTCTCCACACCTTGGCCCTTCGGCCACCGCGCCTCCTCCCGTGCTCTCCCAGCTTTCCGCAACTACTGCAGGCCCGCCATATACGCCAGCTCAGCCCAACGTTTCTGTATCGGCATCGCAACTACCAGGAGCTACTCTTGGAGGCTATCTGAACGGTGTTGTCAGTCTCACAGATTTACTCAACCTTTTTGCTCGCATGTCTGGACTCAGTCCCTTGGATCCAGATGAGACTAGACGTCGACGTCGTAGGAGCAGCAGTCACTCCTCCATGCAAGCCAGTGTCGACAGCTTCAGGAGCAGTGTTGACATTAGCCGTACTGGCAGTCAGCGCAGATGAGCATCATGACCATTAGAGTCCAATCACTCGTTCATCGTTTTATCTTTACTTTTCTCTTTCATAATTTCATGGTGTATGCAGCGAGGGCGTTTTTATCAGACCACGGGGGCTTGCTGTGGTTTTGGGCGGACAACGTTTTTTTCTCTACCTGTTGAGCGTGGGAAGAGCTGGATTCGATTCTATGAGGTCAGGTATGCTAGCAGTGTGTTGTGTTTCCTTTTTTTTTTTTTTGAATATAATCATAGAAATCGCATGAGAACCAATCAACACTGTTTTCTTTTCCTTCTTCTTGGTTGGTTACATACTATGCACATGCTAGACCTGTACGATCTCATCTTGCTGTTGACCTAAAGAGAAGAGAACAGGACGAGTACCAATCGACGAGGGTCGACACAAACATCAGGCTCACGAAACACCTAGGCATGGATCATCCTGCACAATTGTCGACCACAAAAAGGCAGCGCTGCCATCCAGAGTAGGTAGCCATATGAGAGATCTAAAGCGAGATTTGACTCCGACAATAACACAAAAAACCCACATTGATGCATGCACTACCCAGACCTATGAACAAGCCAAATAAATACATCATGATGGGCTGACTCTGCTGTTTCAGTTCTTGGGGGTCGGACTTTCGGAAGTATTCTTGCGATCAAGAACATCAAAGAAGGGCATAGCAAGAAGCAAAAGTGGTAGAAGAGGAAGGAGATTGGGTGGGTATCAGTGAAAGGACAGAACTAGAAGGAAACCCATCATGAAGATTAGGTATAGTAGTCAACGTCTGTCAATCGAGTCAGAAGAAAAGAGTTACAAGTCACAGAGAAGATTTCGTGCGTATAGTGGCTAGCACGAACGCAAAAGGAGACCTACAGCCAGCAAAGACGAGAAGATGACCTGCCTGTAAGTCTAGAAAACCGACAGAATCAGACTCCACCAAGAGAGGTTTAGAAATACTGCTGAGGGAACAAGCAGTGGTCCATAAGATGATAGATACTGGCTTTGACAAGGCGACAAGAATGTCTTCGAGATGGGCAGAGAATCAAGCCTCGAAGTGGCGGAGTGAGCACTATGGTTGTTCGGGATCGAGCTTGTCTGAGCATCGAGATTGTCGAGTTTCGTTCATCGTCTCCATGGGTAGACAAGTTGTCACGTAGACACTCTTCAGACCTGGGACCAAGGAACCGGCAGAATGGAAAAAGGTCCCAGAATGATGAATTCGACGTCCGCAGAGACGAGGTCGAGATAGGCGAGCATCAGGTGAACCAGGCAGCCAGTGTGTCGTACATGTAGTTCCCACGGCGGCATCTGCGGCTGTCCAGTCTCAGACCATCCCAGATCCTGCTGTCGTTCAGCCGACAAGAATAATAAGATCGCGGTAAACGGTGCATTGCTGATCAGGAAAACCTTTCTTTTGCTACTGCGAAGCTTCCTCAATGATACTCTAGTCGGTGCAAAATTGGAGACTGGTGAAACAAGGATGCATTAACGACAGACGTCAACGACAGGATCTGACTTTGGTCGGAGGCTCTCGCTTCCCAAAGCAGTATTTTTCATATCTCCTCTAGTTCCTGGATGAGTGTGGCTTGTTATTCTTCTGCCTGAAGATGCGAATGGAGTCTGTCGGTTAGGCTGAGTTTGACTAGGGCAAGGTCGAGATACTTCTACCGCGGCCATCGGCAAGAGGTCAGGTATCATATGGCCAGAGCTTTACGAAAGCAGAAGTCGGAAGAGCGGAATGGCGGAAGACGCATGGATCTATGCACCTACCCATGCGGATGATCGCAAATCTGATACCGTATGTGGGGTGATGCTGACACCCAACATACCAATGCAGGAAGTATTGGCGAAAGACCTAGAATGCGAAGAAGCGCGAGGTAGAGTGATTGAGAAAACCCAAGCGACCAATAGATTGCTTCGGCCGGGTGATGAAGAATGCACAACATACAGATGAGGGTAGATGACTGCTAAGACACGAGAGATTTGACGCCGAGTCGGTCTGTTTGTCCAAGACGGATGGAGATTCGACCTTTCTATTGGCGTCATAACAGAGACCTCGGATCATTCGTGTGTCGAACTCGATTGATCATGTCGACATGCATTGGCCTGGTGCTTTGTCGTCAGCTGCTAGAGTCTTCCCTCGAAGGCTCGAAGGTCGCTTTATTGTTTCATATCTTTCGAAAATAGTACGCGGTTCATGTTTGCCCTAAGCCGCAGGTATCGATGGCTTTCTCTCCAAAACCTTGACGTGGAGCAATGAGGTCTATTGTGATCCGTGGACCGTGGTTGCTCTCAGAGTCAAGATCTCTGTGTTTCAAAACCAGTGCTTAGCGGGGATTGCAAGAAGCCAGTGTTTCGGGCAAGACGCCTCCAACCTTCTTCTCCTAACGTCCAGCGGAGAACGAGTACCGAGCATCAGCGTAGCCAGCTGGCTACTACCCAACGCATCAAAGTGAGAATATACCATGATCTGTATCATGCCCGAATCTTTGAAATTGGATCGACTATTCATATATCGCGTAGAAGATGAATGCATCTGGAGCAAGCAGAAGATGCCCCTGATCTGCAGCCGACACTCGCTCGACCCGGGAAGGGTCTCTCCGGCACACAAGCCTCATGCCAATCGACAAACCTCGTGGTTGGCCATCGAACAAAGCAGCCAAGCGCTCTCAGGGTAAGACCTGAAGAAGCACTGCCACAGTAGAAGCATCTCGATGGAGCGAGGATGCAATTAAGATGAAGTCACCAATGCAACGGAGTGAACGGCAAGCGCTCGACTGTGGGCGCTCGAGCTTGGACCAGGACAAACAACCCTGGGCGTCTCGCTTGGTGCAACGGTCAGCGAATCGCAGCTGCCTCTTTGCATTTTGCAGGAGCGTTGACGGGTATGCATGCCTGTTAGACTCTTGTTCTGACCACATCTACGACAATGGAGCACAAATTCTATTAGATGTGCAATGAAGAAGTCCATCTCCATGTTCATCGGCAGTTGTTGTACAACTATTCGCCAGCGACACAAATAGCAGCGGATGATTCGCTTGTCTCCCGGAGATTGATGGCAAAGACGGCCATCATCATTTCCCTTGATTGGAGGACTTCCAGAGAGAGACATGCGGACTATGGGTCAGACGGATTTGGCCCAGCTTGAAACAGATCTCGACGACGTCCACGAGAAAGACCTTCTCCGGTGAACGATCTCCCGCTTCTTGGACACCTCCACATGAAACGCCGGCTGCAGTCTGCCCCGTGTTCTATGAGTTGGTACCTGCATTAGACTGGACCTTGGTGGCGGCCATGCTCGGATCATGGCTTGCTTGGTGAGCTACTGATGGCCATACAGGCGACAGCGGCGCATCAAGCTCGTGCCAGGTCACACTGACTCTACACCCGATATTCCATGCGACTAGGTAGATTGAGGAGGTGAGCTGTCTATAAGGCGTGGGCTTGTCCCTCCAATGCTGCATTTCTCTGCCCATTCAGTTTTTCTTCTTTTCATACCCAGTCTATTCATTCTTTGTTAGAGAGTTAGAGTCATTCGTTTTCTCTACTCCCTTGTGTTTTGCATTATATCCTGGTCGATTGTCATCACACACCACGGCAGCTTCCTGTCAACTCAATCAATTTCCTACCTAATCACTAAACCAGAGCGATGCAGCTCACATCTGCCACTCTTCTTGTGGCCGGCCTAGCCGCCCAGCAGGCTTCCGCTCACTTCCCTTGGGCTCTCGATGCCGGCAAGTTCAGCACTTGCAGCAATGCCGACACCCAGTGTTCGTCAGAGCAGCACAAGGGTTATGACTGGACTGGTCTCACCATTGGCCACCCCGTCACCAGCTACGGTGCCAACAGCTTCTCTGGTGGCTGGACTTGCAACAGCATCAAGTCGAAGCGTGATGAGCTGACCAAGCGTACTTTCAACAACAAGTGCGTCTCTGGTAAGCTCCCCTCATGGGGCTCTTCTGGCTCATCCAACCACGGCGCTGGTAGCCTTTCCATTGGATGCAGCGGCGAGAAGAACAAGTTCTCCATCTCTGAGATGCACATCTCTTCCACCTACAACACTCACGTCGACTGCCACTACAACATGCCTGATGGCTCCATCTGCAAGCACAACGTTCCTTGCCAGGCTGGTGGTTCCATCATCAAGAACACCCAGTGTGGTGGTGCCATCTCGGTCTCTTTCTCTCACGGCAAGCCCAGCTCTGGTAGCCCTAGCTCCAACAAGGGTGACTGCAACCTTAACATCCACTCGGTTGGCTTTTGCTTGCGGATCTGGCTCGTCTTCTACCAGTGTTTCTCTTCCCTCGTCGGTCTTGATTCCCTCTTCCTCGGCTGTCTACTCTTCTTCTGAGTTTGTGTCTTTCAGCACTGCCTCGCCCGAGACCACATCTTCTGAAGCATCGCCCGAGACCACTTCAGCTGAGCTGCCTTCAACCATTCCTTCATCAGTCGACACCGTCAGCAGCACCGTCGTCATCTCCAGCGGTAGCATCGTGGTCCCTGGAACTTCGGCTCCTTTCCCTACTGGCTACCAGAACCAGACCACCACTCAGCCTGAAGTCGGTAGCAGCTCTGAAGCTTCGCCCCTCGAGTCCACCTCCTCTTCGGTTGTTGTCCCTATCGGCACTGGCTCCTACCCCTCGGCTGCTAGCAGCGTTGTTGTCCCCGTGGGCACAGGATCTTCTCCTTCGAGCAGCGTCGTCATCCCCGTGGGCACAGGATCTTCCCCCTCCACCAGCACTGGTGTCTACGCAAACAGCACCGTTGTTTCATCGGCTTTGACCTCATCTGCTGCCAGCCCCGCACCTTCTGCAGACTGCCCAGGTGTCGTTCCCAGCTGTTTGAACACTTACCTCCACAACACCAAGTGTGCCAACAACGCCGATGCTGATTGCTACTGCAAGGATGAGGACTTCATCAACAGTGTCTACCAGTGCATTGATGCCTACGGTGGATCGGATGAGAATGTTTCTCAGGCCATGTCCTACATGGTCGGTATCTGTGCCAAGGCCATTCCCTCGAACCCTGCCATTATCACTGCCGTCCCTTCGACCATTGACATTCAGCCTTCCTCGTCGACTGTCAACGCTGCCACTGGCTCTTTGAGCTCTGCTGTACCTGTCGGCTCCTTGACCTCGGATGTTCCTGCTGGCTCTTTGACCTCCGAGGCTCCTGCCAGCTCGGCCACCGACTCGATTGTTTACGTTACCGATGTTGTCAAGAGCACTGTTACTACCTGCCCTGTTGGAGAGACGTGAGTCCTATCGGTTTCATGCTACGACGCACCTACTAATATTTTCTAGGATCACTGCTTCGGGCAGCACCACTGTTTTGACCGCTCCTTCGGTTATCCCCACTGTCTACACCACCAAGTCGACCATCACTGCCTCGATCATCTCCTCGGTCACTGGCGCCCTTCCTTCGGGAGAGTCCCCTTACGAGACCTTGCCTGTTCAGACTTCGCCCGCTGAGGCTTCTCCTTCTGAGGTTTCGCCTGCTGAGACCACTTCGTCGGCATCTGTCCACGTCCAGGTTCCCCACACTGTTACTCTGTTCAGCACCCAGATCGCTACCATCACCTCGTGCGCCCCTGAAGTTACCAACTGCCCAGCAACTTTGAAAACTTCTTTGATCCCCACTGGCAGCACTACTAGCAACATCTGGATTCCTGTCACCTCTGCCCAGGAGACCTCTCCCGCCGAGACCATCCCTGCTGCCTCTTCGGGTGTCGTGTCCTCCGCCGTTGAGGTTCCTGCCACATCTGCTCAAGAGACTTCTCGCGCCCAGACTACATCCGTTGGCGTTTCTTCCGGCATCTCTTCTGGTGTTATCTCGTCCGAGGTTCCCTCAGCCTCGATCCCTGTCTCATCCGGTGCCTACGAGACCTCGCCTGCCGAGACCACTCCCGCAGTTTCCAGCGGTCCTTCAGTTCCCAAGACCATTACTCTGTTCAGCACCAAGATCGATACTATCACCAGCTGCGCTGCTGATATTACGAACTGTCCTGCAAGAACCTCGACTTCTCTGATCGCAACCGGTGTCACCACCGCACCTGCCGCTTACGAGACCGATGCTGTCCCCGCCGTCCCTGAGGTTCAAAGCACCGTTATCGTCACCGATGTCGTCAAGACTACCGTTACTACATGCCCTGTTGGAGAGACGTGAGTTTCGCTATTTTCTATACTTTGATGCTCCTACTAACAATTTATAGTGTCACTGCTTCAGGCAAGACTACGGTTCTGACTACTCCTTCCGTGATCACTTCTCAGATCACGATCAAGAGCACCATCTCGACCACCGTTGCCCAGACCCAGAGCGTTGTCTCGCCCAAGTCTTCTTCGGTCGATGCTGTTATGCCTTCGTCCGCCGCCGTCACATCCGCACCCCAAGCACCCAAGACTCTGACCATCTACTCATCGGTCGTGGCTACCATCACCTCATGCGCTCCTGACGTCACAAACTGCCCTGCCTCGAGCACAATTCATTCAACTTCGTTCTACGCCATCGGCACCACCGTCTCGCAGGCTCCCGTCGTTCCTGGACCTTCCGAGGCCGCCCCTGCCACCACAGCTCCTGCAGTTGTCCCCAGCAGCTCTACCCAGCCCATGACCACTATCACCTACTCTTCAGAGCTCGTGGTCCCTTGCACCTACACTACCGGTGAATCTCAGGGTGCCACTATTCCCAACTCCATGACCACTTCGACCATCCACCGCACTCTTACCGTTCCTCAGGTTCAGTTCATCACTTCGACCGTTGGTGGCAAGCCTACTGTTGGTCTTACCTACCCTTCGGCCGTCCCTGCCACCACAACCTCTGAGGCTATGCCCACCAGCTCTGCCGCAGATGCCGCCACTCCCGCAGTCTCTCCCCCCGCAGTTTCCGCCGCCAGCTCAGGCTTCGCTCCCAAGTCATCTACCTTGGCTAGCACTTACAACACCCCTGCTCTGCCTACTGGTAGCCCCATCTCCTACACTGGAGCTGGCGCCAAGGTTGGTGGCTCATTCGCTGGCCTCGCGCTCGCCGCCGTTGCCGCAATCTTTGTCCTGTAAATCTAGAGCATTGTGTTACTGTACAAACATTTCCTTTCTCATTTGAGATTAGTGGAAGGGGAAGATCAGGTGTGGAGGATGTAATGGACGGAGTACCTCGAACCAAAAAAGCGCTCAATCGTCTCCGGTCTGGTATTGAAGGATGAATGTATAGCGTTGTTTTTAGCTTTCACGCACCCTCCCGTCACGCTCTGTTGATAGCAGAAGACGTGTATTTCCTTTCACGACTTTCATTGAACAGTACGCCTAATTAGCGGCATTTATTCCCTTTATCAAGAACAATATTTCAACTTCAAAGCCAGTCCAAGCACATTCCCAAGATGACAATGTGAAAGTGTTCTGTGTCATCGATCACACTTCCAGAATTACTCTCAAATTCGTTGCATCTATAGGATCACTTCCATAATCACTTCTCGCAGGATAAATTCCTGCACACTTGGACAAGTCGTCCTCTCTCAATCATCCTCGATCGCTTCTCAACCATCCCTCGTCATCTCTCGCTTATCTTTCATCACCTCTTGGCCGAACTTACGCTGGGTAGCATGTCAATCATCAATCTGCCTCCTGAGCTTCGCTCTATGGTCTACGACTTCCTGCTCCAGGAACCGCTCTCCAACAACCAACGCATGATATACTGGAATGGAAGTGGGATGTTCAGTTCACGTCGCAGTGCAGATTCGCCACTTCCCAAACCGGCCTGTCGCCCAACCACTGGTGCATCGCAACACCGCCGATCAGCTCTGAGGTTTAAATGAGGGCAAAGGATAGGGAGTTTGAAGAGTTTTTGACCACCCTTTGTGCAATCGGTCAAGGGCCTAGGGAGCGGGGGTCTGAAAAGGAGCACAAGGATGAAGTTGCGGATGCACTCGAAGAGACAGTCAACACTCATTCATGAGCTTGATTTGGAAGAGGTTGAGGCTGAGTCTAAAGCGGAAGAATGGACTTGAATGATTGATCGATGCCGGTCATTGAAGATGGGACTCTGCAAGATGCTGCATATTGTTAATAGAGAAAGCTTGATTTGTTCCTGAAGACAATCAGACTCAATCAAATCGACCTTTAGGTTACAAGGTTCATATATCTGTGATCGTTCTTCGTTGTCTCTTCAACCTGTTATGTAGAAACAAACAATTATGTTGATACATGGAATTGCACTCGTTCGAAAAATGCTGTCCTTTGACTCTCCCTATGACAAATCGCCTTCACTTTCTCTGTCAGTGTCATAAACAATTCATTCCAGCCCCCTTCACGAGATCAGCTCTGTGGCTCACAGGGCATCAACTCGAAGTGAACCTCTCCAAATCTAGCATAAATAGAATCCAGAGGTAGTGAGTTCGACTCTCTGCCTTGGTTGGTCGCACTGATGGTTTGGTCAAAGATGTTTCACAGGTCAACCCCTGGATTTTTTTGCTCTTTTAGTGTTGGTGGTTGATGGATGATTTCCCTTGGAAATTGTGTAGCCATGCTTTTAGTTCTAAGAGACGCTATGGTATTGCTTTGCTCTTTCTGTATGTAGGGTGATTGTATTCGGATCTCCAGGTCCGTCTGAAGAGTCGCTGTGATAAGCAAGGAAGGGGCGTCCGACCCAGTGATGATCTACTGGATTCAGCGTCTGTTGTTACTACAACGAGGCCTTGACTCGTCACGTCAATACCTCCTGCTCTCACATTCATCTCAACGAATTTCTTCTCCTCCTTTGTCCTACGCCAACTTCATCTTCTTTTCGATCACATATTCGTCCACACCTGCACTCGCCTCAGCGATCGGCCACGATACCAAAGCAATCATGGCATTCTTTAGCGACCATCCTCCGGAGCTGCGCGCGATTGATCACAATCGTCTGCTCCAAGACGGCCTCGCCAGCGACAGGCGCATCGTTTACCACCATAAAGTTGGCCAGCACGAGAAATTCGATCCTCCAGGCGCCGCTCTTCTCAATTAGTTGGCACTGGATGCTTCCTGGCACATGCTTCAAATGAAAAAGTTAGCATCGTTGTAATATATATTTGTCTCCTATACCATTTCTGAACTGTCCTTGCCATACTTTCAAGGTCTTTTGTTAGCAAGCGAGCCTGGCTACGTATCCCCAGCCGCCCTCAGCTACTTCCTGCTACCTCAAGAGCGACGAACACGCGGCAAAGCATGTCTTCCCATATCAATGGCATACCATCTCTTGATCTCCCGCAAGCAAACCCCAGCAGCGATATATTCCCAACTCTGCAGCTCTCCCACTCTCTTGTCTCCATCGGATTGTTCGTCCATACCAACAGCGAGACAAGCAAGTGCTCTGGGCAAAGCCTCTTCATTGCGATCGTTGTCATCGTAGTCTCCGTCGATGATGCGGGAGATGGTGAAAGTGAGGACTTCTTCGAGTTGCTGGCGCATGGCTTGGGTGGTCTCGCGAACGCGCTTCGATTGCTTACCACCGTCACGGCCGAGGATGGTGCCGGAGAAGATCTCAGTCTCGGTCAAAGGATGGCGAGGTGAGGAGGCGAATTGGTAGAGTGATTGCAGCAGGGTCTGCTCGTATCTGTAACGAGATTAGTGGTTGCGAGAGGTGCACATACGTAATCGAGCTTACCCGTCTCTGATCTGTCTGGCTAGATCCATGTGGTGTCCCCACTGGATGGCCTTGGTGTAATGTTGTATGTATGTCCAAAGATCCACAAGCACGGTATTGTCTTGGCCAGGAGTGATCTTAGTAGCTTCCTGCAAGGTTTTCAGAAACTCGTGTTCGTCAATGGCACGGTAGAGGTGACCAAGCGCCTTCTCACTACGGTAGTAGTGGATTGGCCGGACGTCATCTAGATCGCCGATAGGGTCAGTCTCTTCTTCTTCCTCATTCTGGACTGCATCTTCGAAGCTTGCAAATCCGCCAGCTTCGATGATAACGCGTGGGCTTGGAGCCATAAAATCGGGCTTGACTCGCAAGGCCCTCGGAGCCCCATCCAAGCTCACCTGAAACCGTTAGCTTGAGGACAATGTTCTGATACCGTATCCAAGCTCAAAGGTGACTGCGCTCACCGATATGCCCGTCTTGGAGAAGTCCACAGCTGTTGATGCCATTCCTGCAAGCTTGATGCAGTCGGGATCAAAGACACCATGCACTTTTTGGTCAGCAATCTGGAGATGTCGCGTGCAGATCTGACCCAGTTGATCAGTCTCCATAAATTCAACGAAGAAGGAGCTCATGTCTCGGATAGTGACTTCACGGTCAAGCTCTATGCCAGGAACGCGCGGATAATCGGCTGGGTTTGCAATGTCCTTCTGTGGCATCAGTGTGGGCTCGAAAATGACATTGTACAGGTCACCATCCAGATCGCCTCCACTCAGACAGCTGGGTAGGTCACGCTTGCCATGCTGACTGAACACAACACAGTTGCGAAGATGTTTAAGAGGAGAGTCGTCGGGAACGTCGACGGCATCCACGGTTCTGATATCACCTGGGTGAAGTGCAGGAGAGCGTGTGACGATCACTTTATTTCCTGTGAAGACCTTTCTGGGTTCGTCCAAGGCGCTTTGGGTGACAACGTGGATCTGACCCTCTTCCAGATATCCAGTCTCGTCCATTATGCCATACAGAGTAACTCCGTTCTCAACAGGAATGCGACCCCTGTACTTGATCTCACGCAACTTTGTGATTACAGCCATCTCAACGGCTCCACGCAAGAAAGAGTCATCGTGATACTCAAGACCAATATCAGACAGCATTTCGAGGAGGCTTGGAAGTCTTGCAGCTTTGCTTGTCTGTGTGTCATTGAGAAGAAGAGAGGCGTTGAAGGTGTTGGTAGTCATTATCCTCAGCTTTTCCACTGCTCTATCTTGAAGGGTCATGAAAGACTGGAGAGGAACATGCAAGTCTTCAAGGATCTTGATGAACTGACGATTGAGCACCATGGGGTATGGTCGCCATGCCGCACCACAAATCTCGAGCGTGACCGAATTGGACCCCGTATACTTTTCCATGGAGGGTCGAATGTTGAACTGATCCTCGTGAAGACGAGAGTCGAGAGAGACCACTCCCTTNGCGCCAGCGAATCTGATCTGGAGAATCACTGGTTTCAGAGTACGTTTTGTNCCATACACACGCCAAACTTTTTGGAGAAGTCCCAACGACACGGTGCCACAGCCGTCACTAAAGCATCGGCCGTTGCGTTCGACGTCGCGAAGTCTTCTTTGCATCGCGGCTTCTACTTCCACGGTTTCAGTAGTATCGGTGAAAGCTTGTCCGATTCGGGCAGCACAGCGAGCTGGAGTACGGATATGACCGAAATCTCCAAGGTTTCTGATGAGCTCCGGGGCGTGTAGCATTCTTTCTTGGAGTTCAAAAGGTGCCATGAACCAACAGGTCTGGGAGCGAAGGCCTGAGTGTGAGAAACCCAAGAACGAGAAGCCTCTTCCGGCGATGAAATATTCCGACTCCATGAACTTTTGGAAACGAGCATATACATCTTTCAGATCGGAGTCCGGTGCATAACGTACAGGCTCTCCATCTTCGTCTGCGAATGTCACTCGCATGAAGTAGTCAGAGTGGTCTTGATAATCCCTTAGCACACGATTGCTGACTTCGGGTTCGGGACCTTCAAGATAGACGCCCGTAACCGTGACAGTAAGCTTATGCACAAGGACGATATGAGCATGGCGATTGATCAGCTCGTATGGGTTCCCAGACCTGGCATTGTCGTACTTCTGTGCAAAATCCATTAGATTGTTGGCAATCGTCTTCAAAGAGTAGTCCTGCGCTTCCGAGTGGGGTCCAATCGGTTGGAGGCTCTGATACAAACGCCTCAAAGATTCGACAATAGCGGATTTGTCATGGTTTTCTATAAGCAGATTGATGGTTGGAAGGATCTCAACAACTTGATCAGGCGAAAGAGCACCGTTTCTTGCCAGACGAAGCAGCTGAAACTTGATGTCGAACGGCAGAGTGTTGTGTGGCTGTACTGCTACAAGCGCCGTGTCTAAGCGCTTGAAAGCTGATGCAAGGCTGACCGAAGAATATACGGTAGGAGTAGGATGATTGAGAGCAGCTGATGCAATGTGACGATTATGTTTCAAGAGGCGAAACACTTCTGGTAGCTGCCTGTAGTCGGCGAGCTGTATCTGGTACACAAAGCAAGTGCTGGCCACATTGGCATGAGCCTGGTTGATGCTCGAGACTCGCTTCTTTTTCTTGAGTGGGGGTAGCTTCAGCCCAGGGATGAGACTGAGCTGTGCGAATGCGTCAACGACGTCTGCTGAAAGCTTGCAAAAGAAGGTAGGAGAGAGCTGCAGAGCAAAGGTCACAGTCGGACAACGGTAGTCTCCAGTAGTTGCGGTGTCAACATCGAAGTATTTTATGTTGATGCGATACGCAGAACGATCATGGATGCTGTTCATGTTGTCGTAGAGAAGAGCCAGTTGGCGATGGCCGAATAAGACCCTACCACGTCGTGAATCGACAAAGTGTGAGACAAAGGTGAGCTCGTCGTTGACGAAAGACCACACTCCGCATCGCAGATGGGAGAACTCGAAGCTGGGATTCAGATTGGCGCGGAGAGCAGGGCGACTCTGGGTGGATGCAACCGGTTTTGCGGCTCTTGACGTGAGACTGTGGAGGGTGTATTCGTCTGGTTTGTTCTTGGACACGGCGCAGTTGATATGCTGGCCATTCATAATGAGTTGAACCAAGGGTCTTCGTTGACCATTGATCTTTCCGTATTTCTTGACAAAGCGCTCGCCTTTCTCAGCATCACGAACTACCAGCTTTGCACATGCCTTGTTGCCCAGCTTCTCGCACACGAAGCTGGTGATGTTGAATTCGGCAAGACGTGTCTGCATGAACCGTCTCAGGTCGCGCTCTGTGCAGTGCGGAGGTATGCGATTGATGAAGACTTCCATGGCGAAGGTTGCTGAATCACTGTTATGAAGCTTACGCACAGCGTCCGCTTCAACTATCGATGATTAGGACGCTTGACTGTGTGATTGGAGGTCAAGTTTAGACAGGAAGGAAGGAGGAGGAAGAAGTTCTTTCACTCAGAGAAGGAGCAATCGAAAAGATCGATAGATGACTGGCAGCCTCTGAATGGCGGTCAAAGTGAGGAAATCACGACTGGGGTAGTAGCTACAACTCAAACAAGCTCATCTATTCAATTCACTGTGAACATGCAGTCGGCCGTCGCATGCATAGCAGCGGCACAGCTTGCCTAAAGATGCTGTGTAACATTGTGATCACGACGGCGCAGGTCGTATCTAGATTGATATGCCCAGATACAGTGCCAATTCTGCCGAATGTGCTCAATGCAACGACCATGACCCGCCGAATGTATGGTACGAGGTGATTGAGGTTGACAAGATGAAGTCAAATCGCCCTTCAAGGGATGGAGAGCTGGACGGAACTCGCCGCGCGTTGTTTTCGCGTTGGGTAATGCACCTTCCCGCTGTCCTAGAGAATGACCTTGACTGATGGCTTGCAAATAGGTTACCTATCTATCTGCATGCATATGCGCTTGGTACTGTGATCCAGATACATCAAGTTCTCCAGCAACAACGATATGACTTGTCGACAAGGGCCCGGCGCCGAGTGAACGACTTGATGTAGTGTAACAGCTGTAACATCGAGAAATGCCAAGGATTTTAGTCTTGGTCATTTCAAGATAATGCACTTGGATCGATGACAGCTTGGACATCGTAGAGAAGGGGCAATTTGGTTTCTAACGTCCGCGGCTTTAGGACTCTGGAAGTCTCAAGAGCCTCAAAGGACCCAGGTACATGATACTTGTGGGGTAGATGCGATGTTTGTCTATGTACATCCTAGGCTCCTGCAAAGGATGACTTTGACTCAACAATTACCGTAATTCGAACCGATGATAGTCACAGACATGGTTGATCACGAGCTTCCCTCCGACGCATTGCGACTAGCCACCGAAGATAGTGCGACAGAGAAATTCGAGTCGCGAGAGTCTTCAACCCAAGACCAGAAGCCGTCAGAAAGCACAGAGGAGCCTGGAGAGGACGAGGACGAAGGAGGTCTTGGAGTCTACTTTGTGAGAATATGAATTGACCACTTCTTTCGCAATGGACTAACCATTTCTGCCATCGATAGCGAATCTTTCGATATGGTGACAATCTCGACTATGTTCTATATGCTATTGGAATATTAGGTGCTATTGTAGTCGGCGCTGCTTTACCTCTAATGACCCTGGTATTTGGTTCGTCGACCAGTTCTTTTAATGGCTACGCAGTCGGTCAAGGCAACTCGAGTCAATTCCGAAACGACATCGACCATCTGGTTCTCTACTTTGTGTATCTGTTCATTGGTCGCTTTGTCATTGGTTATGTAGCAACTCTCTGCATTTGCATTGCTGCTGCCAGGACCACCAATGCCCTGAGGGAAGCGTTTCTGGAAAGCCTGCTCAGGAAAGAAATATCCCACTTTGACTTGAAAGGCAATGGGTCTGCCGCGACACAAGTCACTACAAACGGTCATCGCATCAATCAAGGCATTGCCGAGAAGCTCTTTTCTCTTGTCATGGGAATCTCGCTGTTCTTCTCGTCGTACATCGTTGCGCTTGCCGTACAGTGGAAGCTTGCTCTCATCACGATGAGTATAGTGCCAGCGATTGTGCTTATCACAGGAGGTTGCATCGCTTTAGATGCGCCTATAGAAGCCCGGATTACTCGAATCTACTCCCGCGCCGCAACGCTGGCACAAGACGCTTTAAGTTCCATCAAGACTATACACGCGTTTGGAGCACAGGAAAAGATTGTGGAATGGTATGACGATTACCTACAAAAAGCACACAACGAGGGAAACAAGAAGTCACTGTTATACGGTGTCTTGTTCAGCGGCCAGACTTTTCTCGTCATGTCAGGCACCTCGCTTGCGTTCTGGCAGGGCTTTCGGATGTTTCGAAGTGGCGAGATCGCGAACGTCGGCACTGTCCTTACGGTCATCTTGAGTGTCACACTCGGAGCAACTTCTGTCTTGCTCATAATGCCGCAGATACAGGCAATCACGAATGCTTCATCGGCTGCAGCAGAGCTATTTGCCATCATCGACAAGCCATCTATGCTTGACCCCCTCTCTTCCGAAGGCAAAACACCCCACACTTGTGTCGGAGACATCGAGATTCGTAACCTATCTTTCTCATATCCTTCACGGCCCACAGCACCGGTACTTCAGGACCTCAGCTTGCGTATACCAGCTGGTAAGACGACTGCCCTTGTTGGACCCAGCGGATGCGGCAAATCAACTCTAGTTGGGCTACTGGAACGATGGTATCAGCCAACCTCAGGCCAGATCCTGCTGGATGGTCACGATATCACCACGTTCAACACTAATTGGCTACGTACCCATATTAGACTCGTACAGCAAGAGCCAACACTGTTTCAAGGCACGGTGGCGTCCAATGTCGCAAAAGGTCTTGTAGGAGAGCAATTGAGTTTGACTGAGGAGCAACAAACGCAGCTTATTCATAATGCTTGCATGGCAGCAGACGCACATGACTTCATTCAGAAGTTCCCTGAAGGCTATGATACACAGCTTGGAGGGCGAGCCAGTATGCTGAGCGGCGGACAAAGACAGCGAATCTCCATTGCGAGAAGCATTGTGGCCGACCCGAAGATCTTACTTTTCGATGAAGCAACAAGCGCATTGGACCCACGCGCAGAAAGGGTTGTCCAGGCTGCGCTCAATCGCGTTTCTGTCAACAAGACAACACTAATCATCGCACACAAACTCGCGACGGTCATGGCAGCCGACAACATTGCAGTTATGACTAGTGGGAAGGTCGTCGAACAGGGCACACATAGCGAACTCCTCGAGCGAGATGGTCTCTACGCAGCTATGGTTCGTGCACAAGACCTGGGAGCTACCGAGAAAGAATCCAATGTACTATCACAGAAGCCAGAGGGAGATGGCAACCCTGGAAAGACAAACTTCGTGGTTGACGCATCCTCAACAAAAACAGACCACCTGAAGTCGAGCACAACACCATCAGAGTCGGACAAACTCGTTGCTGGTACTCTCAACTTCTCACTGATCAAATGCATCCTCATCATGCTCAAAGAACATCCAGACTTGTACCCATGGTATGTACTCATCATGTTGGTCTACTTGACTGTTGGTGGTACCCAGCCAGCCCAAGCCATCATATTTTCTCGTCTCATCCGCGTCTTCACGCTTGAAGGCTCGGAAGCCAAACGACAAGCCGATTTCTTTGCCCTCATGTTCTTTGTCCTGGCGCTCGTGAATCTTGTCGGCTATTTCCTGATTGGAGTATGCTACAACACACTTGGCCAGAAACTCACCCATCGCTATCGTCGAGAAATGGTCGAGCGCATAATCCACTTTGATCAAGACTTCTTCGACCGGCCTGAGAATTCATCTGGCGCATTGACTGCCAAGTTGTCTTCTGTTCCTTCATCAGTACAGGAGTTGATGTCCGCCAATCTTGGTCTGATGTTGAACGTGATAGTCAACATCGTAGCTACTAGTGTAGTGGCTATTGCATTTGGCTGGAAACTAGGTCTCACACTAGTCTTTGCTGGACTCACTGTGATTGTTGCTGGAGGATACATCCGCATCAGACTGGATCAGAAGCTGGAAGCTTCGACAGAAGAGCAGTTCGCAAGCAGTGCCGGCTTGGCCTCTGAAGCTGTTTCTTCGATAAGAACTGTCAGTTTCCTCGCACTCGAAAGGTCTGTGATGCGCGAGTATAGCGAAAAGTTAGATGGTATTGTCAACAAAGTCATTCGAAGTCTGGTAAGTGACAACCGTAGCCCATGCCAATTCCTTGCTGACTTTGTCTCTTATTCAGNNATGGTAACTTTGATCCCATATGCTTTGTCCCAATCAGCTGATTTCTTGGTCATGGCACTCGGCTTCTGGTACGGATCAAGACTGATCACAGAAGGAGAATACTCTACAACTCAATTCTTCGTGATTTTCCTGTGTGTCATCTTCGGTGGCCAAGGAGCAGCTCAATTCTTCGGCTACACAACCTCAATCACCAAAGCACGAGGTGGTGTAAACTACGTCCTCTGGCTTCGCACCATCAAACCTCAAATCTGCGAGACGGACCACAACAAAGGCAAAGGACCCCAAGAAGACGCTGTTAATATGGAACTCGAGCATGTCGACTTCCAGTACAAGCAACGCAATGTTGCAAAAGTGCTGAGTGACATCTCGATGAAGATCAGCGCGGGAACATATGCTGCATTTGTCGGTCCCTCTGGTTGCGGCAAGAGCACCATCATATCTCTTCTCGAGCGCTTTTATGATCCAACATCAGGTCGTCTTACGCTAAATGGCGATGACATCTCTTCCATGTCGCCGAAACAATATCGAAGCTGCATGTCACTGGTCCAACAAGAACCACCGTTATACATTGGCTCTGTACGTCAAAATATCACAATCGGACTGGACTACGAACCCTCGGATGCAGAGATTTTGGAGGCTTGTCGTCAAGCCAATGCTTTAGACTTTGTTACTTCGTTGCCGGAAGGACTTGCAACACCATGTGGTTCACGTGGTCTACAGTTTAGCGGAGGTCAGCGCCAACGTATCGCTGTTGCCCGAGCACTGATTCGCAAACCCTCCCTGCTGCTTCTTGATGAAGCGACTTCTGCACTGGACACACAAAGCGAGCGTGTGGTGCAANAAGCACTGGATGAAGCGGCTGCTGGTAGAACTACTATTGCTGTCGCCCATCGACTGAGCACTATCAGGCACGCTCATGTCATTTTTGTGATTGAGGATGGCAAGATCGTGGAGATGGGAACACATGAAGAGTTGCAAGGGTTGAAAGGAAAGTATCATGCTATGTGTCTAGCCCAGACTCTGGACCAAGCTTGAGTATTGTGGCTATCTGCGGGACTCGTGAAGGGTGTTATTGAGCATTCTCACCCAGTCTTCAAGTCTTTTGATGTCCCTCCGGATTCTCTGATAACCCATCAGCTCTTTCTGCATATCTTCGAAATTGTCTATTATCTCAGTTTTTGCGAACCCCGCCGAAGTGGCGCGAAGAGCAGAGGTGAGCTGCAGATATTTGCCATCCTGACAAGCCGTCGCGTGATAGACCTGAGCCTTGCGACGCAAATCTCTGATGAGAAACGGCGAAGGAACAGATTCACTTAAGAAATCACGCTTGAGGCGAGCCAAAGGCTCAAATTGAGGATGACTTTTGAATGATTCGTGTTCGAGGCGAAAAAGAATTGTGGTTTGATCAAGACAACAGGACGCGAATGAAGGCGAGCTAAAGGTCTGGCGGCGGCCAAGACATGATAAGCGTCTTTATAGCCCTCATGAGAACTGTAATTAGACCAGGCCCTGGAAGCAGGGTTGACAGCTTCAATACTCAAGAAGGCGATATTCCGCAGTTTGAGATTGATCAAGTCGACAATCATTCTCATCTCCTTGGCAGACAGATCTTCATGGCTATCGATGACTCTCATATGCTTGTATAGGGCGCAGGTCGTGGGCGAGACATTTGCCAGAAACCTTGAGAGAAGTATCGAAGTTGGATTGGTGCGCAGAGGGTAGCTGATGATGCATACCAGATGTGCGTTGTTGTAGATTATGGGTGTTCCTTCAAGGTAGGTCGTTTTGCAGGTTCTAGCAAGGGACCATAGATCCTCGTAATGCAGGTGACTGATCGAAGATCTGGTGAATGAAGCAAATCCTGTGACGCTAGCCCAGCGGGAATTGCCCATTGTGTCTACGGTGTACTCGATGCGAGATTTGTTTCTGATGGGATCGATGAGCAGTTCGTTGTAAATGAACAGCCTGATTTCGGGCGGCAGGTCCAGAAACCCTGCCATCGGATGGGGCAGGAGATGGAATCGGACTACGAGTAGCGTAAACGAGTCGCTGACTGGAAACTGATTACGAATGTGGTAAGATGAGTGAATAGCTGTGCACTGATGGTGATGGTGCATATTGATGTTGTGATGTTGGGCACGCTATTCTCTGAAGACGCGTTGAAGGGTGAGCAGTAGGCTGAGGAAGCAGCAGTCGACTGCTGGTGGACCGTCCGCTCATGCCTAATTTTGCAGTAAAAAGATGCGAACGTCAAACATGTGTAATGGTCATATATTCGAGGGAGTCAAAACCATCTTCAACAAAAGCGGTGATGTTCTTGTAACGAGACGCTGAATCAACGTGTCTTGCAAACACTGCGGCTTTGTTATATAATGTATGTCAGCAACCTTTGTCCTTCACCGATGATGCCCTGAACACGACGGTGATGCTGGCTGTCTTTCTCGGGATGTTGCTCGCCGCTCAGGCAGGTAAGTGCAATGCTTGACTATTCACAACCTTCTTTGCACCTTCTGTCTGTGCTTGTAGAGCTTTGGCAAAGATGAGCTCATCTTGTCTTACCATCTTTGCTGGTATTGCTTCGATGATGCTGTTCGACGCGTGCACCAACCACCAGAGTATGTAGCGAGTATCGCTCTTGTACTCGAGTTTAGGGATACGAAGTGATTCGTCGAGGTCCGTACGCATGCTGATAGGGGCCGTATCGCTCCCAAGAGCTGATCGAGCTGGACGCTTCTGTAGCGAAGAGGTATGGCTTATCAGAAAATTGAATGCTGACAAAAAAACACTGTGTGCGAATTGCGGTGTAGTCCAGACGAGCGTGACTCTAGTGAACGGACTTTTACAATTGTGCGTTCCCATAAGTGTGTTTGTCGACGCGTGTCGATGTTACAGATGCGATCAAGAATCTTGAGGCGTGCGCACAACGACGCAAGTGAAAGCCAATCTGAGTGAATGCAGGAGTAAACAGCATCCGCGAGATACAAACAACCGGGCCATATTGTTTGCCGCGGCCCGTGAGGCTGCCTCCAGTAGTCTGCTCCCAGCAAACACAGCCTTCCAAGAATAGATGCAATGAATTCGCTCACGTTCAAAGGGATGTACTTCCATACATGGAGAGACTTTCTGATTGCATCGTTTCGTCAGACTCGTGATTTCTTTTTGCTCAGATGTCGGTCTCATCCTTTTGTAGCCTCCTCTCTCAATTTGAAACGCTCTGTGACCACCAACCCGTCGTCCTCGCGTTCGGNNCATCTTACCCGCTGTCTTTTCGCCAACTTTAGTCTGCCTCGCCCGTGATGCGGAAGACTCGTAGAACCTTCTTCTTCCGTCAGCATCATCTGCTCCGGCATAGCCTATCTTTTCTCTTGTCGGTAACGTCGTATACACGATCCCCTGTTCAGCGTTTGCATCCAGCTGGTGCACTCCATCAATCATTACAGTAGCGCCGGGAAGACTGATGCTACAAGCCCTAAGCGTCTGTCGTATGTCGTCGAACAAGAGATGCATGGCGCAGATATATGTCAAGCCTGTACGTTCAGCGAGCACATGGCCAGCGACTTGACCAGTGGTGTTGGAAACTATCCACGCACCCGAATCTCCACCGACACCGAAATCTCCAACTACCGTCCAGCTGAGCGAGAAATTTCTGCGTCCTTTGATCTTCACAAAAGACTGGGCTGCGCTGATAATGCCAGTCTTGAGGCCTGATGTCCGGCCTAAACAGTGCACTTCCAGGTTCGCAAGATTCGAGGCGGGGATGATTTCAGTTGGATACCAGTCTTCTTCTGCTGTATAGAGACTGTCGCGCCTGCAGACCGGAGTTTTGAGCTCAGGTACGAAGGATACTGGTGACTTGCAATGCCTACGACCGCCTTGGATCAAGTTATAGGGTTGAAGCCGAGGAGGATCAAGCTCCAGCAGAGCCCAGTCTATCTCGTAGCGTTTGCCCCCTTCATTCCAGCGACGGAGCCCCGAGGAAGCGTAGACTTTGCCTAGCTTGTAAGAGGATAAGTGGTCNTCATCTAGCTCCTCCGTAGTCGCGTCGTCGGCGTGAAGGTCTTCGGCTACAGCGTCGCCAAAGGCCGGCTGGGTCACTTGTACGGTGTTTGAAGACGACGCTGCGATGCCGGGTTTGTCGCCTGCATCTTCGTCTTCAGAGACATCGCTCTCAAAGTCTGACGATTCATATCCACCATTGTCAGAATCCGCGCTTGAGACCGACGAGAGGTCACTAATGTATCCGTGATCATTGCTTGCATTTGTCACGAGACGCGGCAAGGTTGGCTCTGGAGCTCTTGCACTTGAACGATGAGCGCCTTGGTTGGCCTGTTCGTCCATGTCCGAATCCAAGTCGTCCGAGTCTTCTTCGTCAGTCGGAGGCTCGAGCATATGGTGTACGCTCATCCCGTATTCTTTCTCGTCGACTTTAATTATACCGCCGAGTGAACATGGTTCAAGGTGACCGTAATCAGGCAGATATGCACCGATAGATGCACCACAAAGAGGACGCTCCTGCCAGAAAGGGTTCATTGCGGTCATGTTACTAAGTACAATTTGTCAGCCTCAAGCATGACATACACGAGTCTTGAGCTTTATTCTGTAAAACAATTGGATGTCATAAGGAAATATATGGGTATCATGAGGAAACAATTGGGTATCGAACAAAGAAAGAAAAAACCCCCGAGTTATGCAAGGCTCGGACAAAGAAGAAAATGGGAGAGAAAAAGAGAATCATAATGTGTACCTTTCGTTTCCATCGCTCCTTGCATGGCTTCGCTTGGCAATGTCACCTTTGCCACAGATCCTTGTTTTACCTCTTGACAAAGACACACACCCTTGTCGGACCTTGAGGTCGAACATCGTCCGGTCGTAGTGGAATTTGCGCTTGAGTGCGGCTTTGACTCTTGCTGTATTTGTGCAGGTCACAACGATAGTAGGCTTTGCGGTGAAAGCATCATGACCAACACTGACGAGATCGATGCTTGAAGACTCGGTAGAACCCTTTAGTGCTCGTTCGATTATGCAAGAAAGACGAAATCCGATGTCTGAGTGCCACTCATCCACAATGGGTTGTGGAAGGGAAAGTGGAAAAAGGCGACACTTGCCTATCGGAGCAACTGGTCGATGATCGGTCTGCAATTGCTGGTACGAAGCTTCTTCATGAACATTACGGCGTGTCTCGGCTTTCCTCGCGCGCCAGCGTGATTGGATGAGCATGACTTTACGGCGGTAGTCGCGAAATGAGAAAGGGAACGGATCAGCGCCAGACTTTGGTTGTACATTGGCAGTAGCAGGATAACGATCGAGAGCAGCAGCTGAAGTAGGAGTTGAGGCTTGGGTCGCAGATTGCGAGATGGGCTTGATTAGATCCGCGCTTATCGAGTTGGACCGATTCGATTTGGCACTCAGCATCGAAAGGATAGGCGAACGAGGTCCAACGGAACTCGAGATGGCAGATGGGTAGGATGCAACAGAAGCTCTCTCAGCAGCTTTGAGATCGGGAGAGTTGGTAACGTGATCTTCAGGTGAGATGTCGCGACGTTTTTTCTTCAATGCCTGCAGACCTTCTAAGCTGCTTTGGGTCTGCAAGAATGCAGCCGGAATTTGAGTGATCTCCAAAGGTTCCGTCTCGTCCAGCAATACACAGCGCTGAAGCTTGACAAGGATCGAATCGTACACGGCCTCAACGCCAATATGTCCGACGTCGTCATTATCAGCCCAGCGCAAACAGGTCTGCACTGCGCGCATATAGAGTGACCCGCATTTGCTTGCAAGCTTTGGTATGTAGAGCTTCTCCAATCTGAGCTTGAAGTCCTTCAGCGTGTATTTTTCCTTAAAATAGTCGTTCACAGGATTCCAGAGACCGATTTCCAGAAGAACGAGACCGATTTGATAAAGGTCATACCTAATGGCTGTAACGTCATCGATCTCGCCTCCCTTGTCTTCTGGATGTTTTGTGATGTTGGAAATTGGCGATGAATCTCCATACTCAATTCTGTTTCTGGAGAACATGTCGAATGCTGAAATGACAGGCCGATGCAGCTCGCTCTGTCGTGGTTGCGGGGACTGACCCTGTTGCAGGAACACGATACTCTCGCTGTGTATGTTCCCGTGAAAGTAGTTTTCGGCATGCAAGTCCCTTAGTTTTTCCACAAGACGTAGTGCTATACGAAATCGGTCTTCCAGAAACGGAGTAGCGTTCGAGACATCGACTGCTCTTTTCGCTTGTGTCGCGGTCAATATGAGGCCCATGAGAGTGACTGGGCGAATTTCTGGGGACTGGTGCGGTTGAACGGTGCGATAGTCGTAGACCAGTCCTATGCGAGGTTGCTGAGGGTCTTCCACATAGCCAAGCAGCCTAAGGTTTCCCNNCCTGTTCGATAACATATTCAGAGAGGAAGCCAACTTCTCTACTCGCGTCAGTGGCGGAGAAACGCCAGTGTCACGATATAGCGGGTCGTAATTCTCAAACTCGACCATGACCCAGACATACTCATCTGTGACATCCCCGAACACATTTCGAACGCTTTCGGGGGCCAGAGATTTACTCAAGCGACCCATCATTCTAGCTGTAGATGGAACGCCCAAGTATTCGTAAGGAGGAGGGCCTTCTGCTGGTAGCATCAAAGCCTGAGGATTGATGCTTGCTGGTAGTCCGGCGTAGGGTGATAGAGTAGGTCGTGTAAACTGCGTGTTGACCAGAGTCTTTTCCGAAGAAGCGAAGCTGGCGGCATCAAATGCAACCTTCGGCATGCGGAGGCCATGCTTGGCGATGTCATGAGGGTGGTCGCTCAAGTTGGGATACGTGCCTCGTGCGATCGCTCTTCGGGTGGCTGAAAGGTCATAGAGGACATCAACAGACGAAGTCAAGTCGCGTAACAGATCTTCGTATTTGTCTTGGTTGAAGACGACCTTGTCAGATGCGGGATTGTGTGATGAGAGTCTATCGGCTTGTTCGAGGATCTCCTTGATGTTTCCTAGGATATTGGTCACATTTTCGGTCAGACCAGCTCGTTCGATAGATTCATCGATGCTGTCGTTTGTCTCTTCAGCCCATTCCAGACCCNNCCAGGCTATTAGGCGATCGGTTTGTGCATGAAGTTTGCGCTGGAGTCTTGCGGAAGCAGGACTCGGCTCCTGCTTATCTACATTTATGGCGGCCTTTCTTTTCGTGTCGTTATAGAGACTTGTGAGATTGTGATTATATCGTAGAGAAGCCATGTCGCGTTTGTAGATTTGTCAATATCAAGGCGTAAAATCCATGTCGAAGCGCTTTGCAGAGACTGATGGATGATTACTGCATCGATCAGGGTTGTGCGTGGAAGGCAGCCATTTGAGTAAGGGCAAGAGGTCGCCTCCGAAAGCTGCTGCCTGCGGAACGGTGAGAAGGCCCGCGTGGCTTCCCAAGCCAAGCTCCGAGCAACCAACAAGCACGTCGCAAGCAGTCGGTCGCAACTGCCTCGGCTTGTCCGACATCCGTCTGCGAAACATCCACGCCGCCTTTGCGAATCGCAACCTTTCGCTACAGCGCTTTACCAACATGCCACATTTTCCGTCTGCCAGCCAAGCGACCGACGGCCAGGAAAGCGATGTAGCGCGCAATGCACGTATTCGTGTCAAGACTCGAAGGCGAAGATACCTGGAACTAAATGGCGACTACTACAATTCGCCCAGCCTAGAGCTTGCAGGTGCTGCCGCGCGGCGTGTGTACGACTGAGATCCTCGATACCAACCCGTGCAACAGNATCCCCTACTATACGACCGCATGGTCAGACGCTTCCAAAGCGCCGCGGAGCGTGAGGCCGATGGACGCGACAAGGGTTATTCGGGCATACTCGAGGCCGACTTGATGCGGTCAGAGGCCAAAATTGAGGCTTTGAACCACCCAGATCCCAACAGCCCTTTGACATACCGACGAGATGCATCAGGCGCAATCACAGTCGTCGAGCAAGACGAGGAAGATAGGCCAAAGACGAAAGAAGAGGGGCTATCCAAGTGGCGCGAGTACGTCGAGATGCGTTTCCTCCGAGGCGAAGACCAAGACTTTGATTACAAGCTTGTCGACGAAGATGAACGCTATGACGACCTGGACTGGGACAGGCGAGAAAGAGAAGAAAACTACTTTGGACAGGAGGAAGCCGAATTCGTCGGCGAGGGCGAGAAGACAGGTGAAACAGGAGTACAGGACTATTAGAAATTGTGGCATGCTATGCGCGTATACTTCGTTATGAAAAGCTTCTATTGATGATATGGTTCGGACAATTGTGATTTGGATATGTTACAGCGCGTGGAGGTGATTTTGAAGGGGTAGCGGTCGGAGGAGAAAGGTTTAACCTCTGCTCTTGGTGTTCAGGATGAGGGCGACGATCAATCTAGGGGATGTGTTAGCATCAAAGACTTGGTGCGGAGCAAGATGATGGACGATACCCNNGTATAGACCCAGAACTTCTCCGAAAATGAGAATCAGAACCATGCCAACAAAGATTCGTGACTGCTGCATGTACGATCTGACACCCATATCGCCGACAATTCCAATGGCGTATCCTGCAGCAAGACCGGTCATGCCAACCGATAGACCACAGGCAAGGTGCATGAAGCCTGTAAAGAGACTGTAGTGGGTGCCCGGNGGAGGGCGCATATCGCCAGCAATCAAGACGGCGACAACGAGGGCGTAGACGGCGATGATACCGGACATGACGACGGGGATGAGCGACTTCATGATCAGGTCGGATCTGAAGGTACCGACACCAGCGATACCGATACCAGACTTGGCTGTACCAAATGCGGCTCCAACGCCTTGAATTGAGGATCAGTATCTCGAGCAGACGTAATGAGACTGGGATATAACGTACAGCCGAAAATCATCTGTCGAGCAAGCAGCATCATTAGTAGGGAGCTCACAGACCAGCAGCAGAAGAGAAGCAGCTTACAGCAAAGGCGATGCCAGCCTGAGAGGAAGTTAGCCAACATGTCTATTCGAGGCGATCAGGCATACACACCATGCCAAAGAATGGCGCAAAGGCAGGGGCGAGTTCAGAGTCCGACATGGCGGGAGAGACGCGGGATTACACTCTGTGAGGAGAAAGCGAGGAAGGCGAGGACTAGAAGCGAAAAGTCACGGTATGGCGAGCGGCGTATGGAAGAGTCGTCGACGAAGTGCAGGAGTGACCTTGAACTGGACTTGAACTGCCTCACGGCAGCAACGTCGGTCCGCCATGATGATGCACCGACTCACACCTCTCCCACTCATGAAACGTTGCACGTGACTGACACCTGCTAGACACCCAGTATGGACAACACATACACTGCCTGCCTCGATATTGTTCTTTTCGATAGCCAGGGCTCATATAATTACTATCTCACATGCTAGCTCTACAGACGGATGTGTCAGTATCTGTCTGACTACCTGAGGAGAAGAGAGTCCAAGAATTGACGATTGTGAGAGGCGCCTCGGACCTTTCCGGTGAGCCCTGACCTGAGTGCAGTGCAGGTAACACAGAATACCTCTAGCAAGTCGACCATCGGCCATCGCAACAGTCTCTCTCTCCAGCAACTTGCAGTCTGTCGAGTACGAAGCCTCGGACCACTGCCACCCTCATTGTCTCGATTGCGCGCTTTGCAATCCGTCCTGTCGTCTTCGTATCCTCGTCTTCCGCGGCCTCGACAGCGGCACACGTGGACAAGGACTTAGAGTTGCAGAGGCTCGACACCGTGGGCCGCCTTGTTTCATGAGCACTGGCACTGGTCCCGGATCCTCGACCTTCATCGTTACTCGCTTGTGCAGCCGGCAGTCCTCTGCTTTCCCTCGGATGTATTAGATGCTAAGCCCTGCCGCTCACAATGGCTCAATACTCGCAACAGCAGGGTCGCTCCTCGTCGCAGCAGCGCGAGGCCGCCTATAACAACATCTTTGGCCCGCCCGGCGCCGCTCCGCAACAGCAGGGTCGCTCGCAGACCATGCTCTCCCAGCCCATGAGGCCGCCTGCCGAACGTGCCGCCACCATGTCGTCGCAGATGTCCGACTACATGCAACGGGCCNCCTCCCATGCGAGCATACCCTCCGCCGCAGAGCAACCCCCGTCCCGCTCCCCATCACCAGCAGTCTTACAACACTGCATCTCCTCCTACTCAGAACGGCGACTATCACCACCCATCNGCAACAACAATACCCTTCGTCTCCACAGCCCCACCGCCAGCCTCAACCCCAGTACCTGCCTCAGCCTCTTCGCCCCGACCGCCGTCCCTATGCCGCTCCCCAGCGCCTTGATCCGCGTGGTCCGCCACCGTCGCAGCCTTATGCTCGCACCTATACCGCCGGATCAAACATGTCGCCTGCTCCCAGTCCCGGTCCCGNCCCTCAATTCCGACAGCTACCGCTCGCAATCTATGGCTGCAACCTCTCGACCTAATTTCCCCGTACAGCATAGCCAGAGCAGCTACAACATAGCTCCTGCACACGCTTTCCGCCAGCAACCATATATGAGCAACCATCTGGCAAGGACGACTGCCCAGGGTAGGGTTGTACCCGATCGTCCCACTGACGAGAGAACCATGTCCATGTCCTCGTACTCGCGCGATCAAGACCACAGCCAAATCATGAGCGGTCGTGTCATACCCCAGCGCAAGCGGGGTGACTCTGAGGTGAGCCAGCAGATGGATCCATTTATCGCCGCCAAGGGTAGAACCCCTAGTCAGGGTAGTATCCAGTCGCGCTCCATGTCCATGGCTTCTACTATCGCTGCTCCCTCCGAGTTCTCGGAAACGACAGCTGGCGCTGCTCAATCACCTCGGCCCTCAATAACTGCTTCTTCCACTCGTTCCAACAGCCAGATCCAACAAGGCAACGGTCAGATGATAGCTCAGCGACGCCCCTCTCTTGTCTATGGTGCTCTCCTCTCCAAGGTCGCCGCCGCTTTTTACGATAGAATCCCAATGGCGGAAAAGGAGAAGGACGGTCTGGTCTACAAGAACGCATTTACTGGCCACGATGCTGTTGAGCTGATTGCTTATATCATCCGTACTTCCGATAGAAATCTTGCGCTGCTCCTCGGCAGGTCCCTGGACGCGCAAAAGTTCTTCCACGAGGTTGCTTATGCACACAGGTTGCGCGATTCTCCCAACGAGATCTACCAATTCAAGGAAGCCGTGGTCGAAGAGCCAGCAGAAGTCAACGGAGTTTTCACCTTGCTGACCGAGTGTTACTCACCCACCTGTACACGCGATCACCTTTGTTATTCTATAGCATGCCCGAGGAGACTGGAACAACAGCAGCGTCTCAACATGAAGATCCAGCCTGGTCTGAAGAGAGAAGGCTCACAAGCCAGTCTAAGAGATGAGCCGGAAGCAGAACAGAGACTGTGGATCAACACCGTTTCCAAGGATGTTGCCGACAGTGTCGATGACAAGGAAAAGGCACGTCAGGAAGTTCTTGCCGAAATCATGTATACCGAGCGAGACTTTGTCAAGGATCTGGAATATTTGCGCGACTTCTGGATCAAGCCTTTGAGAAACCCCAACATTTCGCCAATTCCGGAACACAGGCGCGAGAAGTTTATCCGAACAGTCTTCTCGAATTGCCAGGAAGTTCATGCTGTCAATGTGAGGCTGGCTAGCGCTCTGACTCGACGACAGCAGCAGAGCCCGGTCGTGCGGAACGTTGGTGACATTTTCTTAGAATATGTCCCTCAGTTTACGCCATTCATCAAATATGGTGCCAACCAGCTGTTCGGAAAGTTTGAGTTCGAGAAGGAGAAATCTAGCAATCCGGCCTTTGCCAAGTTTGTCGAGGAGACAGAACGTTTGAAGGAATCGCGGAAACTCGAACTCAACGGTTATCTTACGAAGCCCACCACTCGTCTTGCCAGATATCCCTTACTATTAGACGGAGCACTCAAGAAGGCTAAAGATGACAACCCGGATAAAGAAGATCTCCCACGAGCTGTCACCATGATCAAGGCTATTCTTACCAGGGTCAATGAGGAGTCTGGAAAGGCAGAAAACATCCAACAGCTCGCACAACTCAATCAGAACCTGAAATGGACTAACGTGCCTTATCAAGATCTGAAGCTGACTGAAGAAGGGCGTCAAATGGTATTCAAAGGCGGGCTCAAGAAGACGGCAAGTGCAGAAACGATCGACATCCAGGCATATCTGTTCGACCACGCAGTGCTACTCGTCCGACAGAAAATGGTCAACAAGCGTGAGGAGCAANAGGTGTATCG